CAGGTGGAGTGAAGGTGGCAGAGTGGGGGTGGGGAAGGCTCAAAGCAAAGATGGGGCTGGGAGGGAAGGGGCCAAATCCTGACACCAAGCCTGCTCTTCTCCCTTCTCTCTTCCCCCCCTTGCCCCCCCCCCAGTCGAGAGGTTCAGGCTGAAGGGAATTAGGTGTGGTGCCAGAGCAGGGGGGGAGGGTTTAAGGAGGATTTGTGGCAGCTCTGAATGGGCTGTTTGTTTGTTTTATGTCGTTTATATAAACTTCCTTTCTGTCCTTTTGGGGAACCCAACGAGGCTGCTTAGGAAATCGCAGGAGGGGGGGCCACGAGATACATAAAGGAGAGCATGAACCCATGTAGTTGCAGGTCGAGTTGTGCTTTCCTTTTGCTTCCAAGGAGAGTCCGCCTTTAGGTGCAAGAACAGAGTTATGGGTGGAAGGGGAAGAGGGTGGCCAGCTGCTGATGGGATGTGTGGGGGTGAGAGACGGATTAATCATTAACAACAATAACAACATACCTGGAGCATATTTCAAGTGATCCGTGTTAACAAGTTCAACATGCGGCCGTCTTAGGTGTTGCTCTTTCCGTAGGATGGGTGAGGGTGGTCGCTGATCTGCGGCCACCCCGAGAACGTCCCTTCTCTGCCATATCAGCTCCTAGGTTTATAAGCTGGAGAGGGGAGGGGGTGACAGTCCGGATCGGGACAAATTATCAGCTTCTCAGCCTTGGGCTGCGAAGATTAGGAGCCTGGCAGATGGAGGGAGAGAACTTGGTTGCAGACTCAGAGGGCAAAAGGGAAAATCACGGCGACTCAAGAAGAGATCTAGAAAAAGAGCCATCCCAGAAGTTTCATGTATTGATTTTGTAGATGGTGAAATACTTTGTTAATGATGTTTTATTTTTATTGAAGCCTAAAGGTGTGTTCAGTGAGCACCTGCTTCTGATTGCATACTATTTTTTTAGGTTTTGCCTTGCTTATTTTATATTGGTTTGTAACGCTGATTGATTGATTGATTGATTGATTGTATTTATCCCCCGCCTGTCTAGTCATTTCGACCACTCTAGGCGGCTTACAACAAATGATAACAAGTTCTAAAAAATTTATAACAATTAATTAATTAGATGATTCTATAAGATGGGAAAAATAAAAATAAATCAAATAAAGAGAGGGGGAAAAAAGGAAAGAGGACAGGAATTAACTGGAAGGGAAGGCCTGCCTAAACATCCATGTTTTTAGTTGGTTCTTAAAAGTACCCAGCGAGGGTGCAGCACGAATCTCCGGAGGTAGGTTATTCCAGAGACGAGGAGCCACCGCTGAGAAGGCCCGGTTTCTAGTTCTTTCTTTCCGGGCCTCCCTTGGCGTCAGGCTCTAAACCTCACCTCCTGGCTTGCGCGGGTGACACGGGTAGAAGTTAAAAAAGCATACAGTATTTATTTAAACAGGAAGGAAGCTATTTGCAATAAAATGCTCACCTCGGATTCAGAAATGGTCATGTTAGCTAGCCAAGCCAGTTAGAGTTCAGATGTCCTGCTTTAAAGTGGTTTGTAGATGATCCATTGATAGTAATGGGAATCCTAAGCAAACTCCACTCCAGCAGATGATAAACGTGGGACTGGTTCCTCTGTATGACACAAGTGAGTACAAGAGTGTAGAAGCTGAAAAAAAAAACCCCGAACACTGTATTTTTAGATGGCAATTTGTGTGCAAAGCTATTTCCTGAAAAATCTCTATCGGCCTGTCACTTGATTATTAGTCATTATTGAGGGTGCCCCTTGTCAGTCCTTTCTCAAGACTATATCCTCTGTTGCTGCGTGCTGTCCATTTGTCTCTGTGAAGGCATAACCCCCAGCGACCTGTCGTCAGCAGCCCCGCTCAGCTCTTGTAAATTCAAGGATGGGGTTTCTTTTATGAAATCAATCCATCTTGTATTTGGTCTCCCTCTTTCCTTGCTTCCTCCGCATTCCCCCAGCATGATTGTCTTTTCCAGAGAATCCTGCTTTCTCGTGATGTGCCCAAAGGGTGACTGCCCCGGTTTTGTCATTTTTGCCTCCAGAAATGGTTCAGGCTTTACTCCGAGGCAGACCTAAACAGGATTGTAAGCTCTGATAAGTCTTCCTTAGGCTATTTTATTGCATGGGCATTTTACAGTTTGGTTCATAATTCATCTGATGTCTAACTGTAGGTTTCAAGCCTTCCTTAAAAGGAGCTCAGGTGACGATAGGAGCTAGAGAGGTGGACCTGCACTCTGTTAAGAGAAAAAAAATATTCGAAATTAGTGGGGATGCCAGTGGAGTAGAAGGCTGCAGGTTACTGGAAGTTTTACATGTACCCTTGTGATGTGATTATCTGGGAAACATCAGATGAAAGCTTCTGCTTCAGTGTTTCATGGCACTGGATTCTCCACAGTCTAGCGGGATCTACTCCCAAGCAACTATATAATAGATACCCGGTGTGGTGTAGCAGATAGAATGATGGACTTGGACTCTGGAGGTCTGGGTTCGAATCTCGACTGGAAACTCACTGGGGATGTGGACCTGATAAAACCACACCTTAAATATCTCACTTACCTTGGAAGCCTCATTGGGGTCACTAAAAGTCGCAGCCCAACATTTCTCTGTCCCCACTCGCCCAATACATTCCTAGGTGCCTCCTCTCTCTGCCATAAACCTTGCGAACTCTGCTGGGATCCGGTACATTGAGCTTAGTGGTATTAACCTTGTGCTCCGAGTTGGCTTCCCGATGTCAACGTTTGCACCTTGCAAAATGTTTGTCCTTTTTAAGTTGTTGGAACTGATGCTGTAGCGCTTTAATTTATTTGAATTCTTGTTACATATAGTTTTTTTCTTCTTAAAATTTGTTTCTTTACAAGGAAGCTTTTCAGGAATTCTGTGTTTTAATTAGTTCTGTCGTATTGTGGGAAGAGGGAATCAATAAGAGAGTGTGGAGGTGCTGCTTACTTGAGGAAGAAGTCTGGCATTTGAAATAAGTACATCTCACAGTTCTGAAACAACATGACTGCACAACCTTATTTCAGACCTTATCAGTTTGGATTACGACAAAAGGAAGGCACACGTTGTGTTGCATGTGAAATCTTCCTTAGCAGTTCAGACGCTTGTCTCTCTGCTTATGAGATTATTTGCATTGGCAGAACTGACCCTCAAAGCACTTATCCTAATGAATCTGCCATATATTATTATTGATTTGTGATAGTCCAAAGAAGCTCACTTCCATGTGAATCTGTTGGAAAGGGGCGACTAGTTCTGTTGTGTTTTTCCTTCTCAACCAGAATTTTTAGGGCTGTTTCCAGATTAACAAACACTTCAAATACCCCAGCAAATTAAAAATATATGTACATATATATAAATAATTTGGGAGTTGCAACCCAGAAACATGTGGGTTGCAACTCCCATTAACCCTAACGAATATAGTTTGTTGTTAGTGATTATGAGAGTTGTTGAACAACATCCGGGGATGCCCGTTGCCCTACATAAATGCTGTAGTGGATTGATTTGTATGACATGACAGCCAGAGGTCTTCAGAGAGCTTGGTTTGTGGACAGTCACCCCACTGTCAGTCATGCCGGCTCATAGCAGGAGTGATTCAATAGATCACATAACTTTAAGATCAGTTTATCTTGGCTGTTCAATTGTGTCATAGAGCAGGTGACTTGGGTTTTTATTTTTTTGCTGTTTTTTTCCACTCGCCTAGTAAGCAAGTTTAAAAAGAATGTTTTTTTCTGTTCAAATCAGTAAAAGGAAACTGCTCTCTTTGGATTGGATAATAAAAGAGCACTGGTGTGTACTCAGACATAGTTCGTGTGGTTTTCTTCATGCCAAGTCTGTTTAGGATGGCAGACGTGAGGTGGGAGGAGGTGCTAGAAAGTGCTAACAGCCACTTACGGGATGCCTAAACAGCAGTTTGCAAAAATGCTTGCAGTGGAAACTCACTAGCAGAAGCTTAGTATTTTCTCAGATTAATTCTTTTGTGTGTTATGTTGTTAATTTGATTTGATGAAATAAGGCAATTTAAGCGGAAAATATTTTCTAGCATAGATGCATAGCATAGACACCATTGTGTTTTCAGTCTAATGCCATTTTGAGCAGGGGTGGGGGAATCCTCCCCGTATTACTGATCAAATAGGATTCCCCGGCTTGTAACAGAATTCACACAATATTGCACAGATTAATCTTCTGCCGGCTGGCACGTTTGTCATGCCTTAAGATTGCATTGCTTGGAATTTTGTCACTATGGCCGCAGCTGTTTGTTTGCAAAGCTAATCTTAAAATAGGCAAAAATGTAACTTCTTGTCTGCTTACTTTCCCAATTTAAAAATGGACACATATGTCATAAATTGTCTAAAATTGGGTGAGTGGGGGAGTCACGCTTTCAGTGGTGCGGCTTCTCATTCCAGCAGTTAGCCGTTATAAACCCCAGCTTTATTTTGCATTTGGAATATAATAAGCCTGCAATCTGCTTTACGTTAGTTACACAAGGCGCCTTCAGATGCGGACACAGCTCTCCTAAAGAAACAGCATGGGTTCTGTTCTGATGGGCAGTGATGAATGCCATTTACAACTTTTTGTGCATTGTAGTTTAAAGATTAAACACTGTGCTGTAACTAAGTTTACCAGCCTGTTCCTGCTAGTGTCATCTTCTGTCCTTCCAGCTGCTGAAGAATACAGTAGCTTTTAGATGGGAAACAAAGGTGTCTTTATGCCCAGTGTGTTGGAAGAATTGTGATTGTCAAAGGGAAATGTATATAATGAGCTATTGCATACATTCTGTATAATTACAGTGAAAGCTGCATCAGCCTTAAAGTCCTGTGCTTTGAAAGGAGATAGGAAAGAATGTATGTTTCACACAATGCAATATGTTGTTATTGTTGTTAGTAATAATTTTTAGTACCCTGTTTCCCCAAAACTAAGACAGGGTCTTACATTAATTTTTGCTCCAGAAAACGCATTAGGGCTTATTTTCAGGGGATGTTTTATTTTTTGTCATGTACAACCATCTATATTTATTCAAATGCAGTCATGTCATCTTCTGATTGCTGCACAGTGCTGGAGGGCGGGGGTTTCATTTAACTAGGGCTTATTTTGGGGGTAGGGCTTATATTGTGAGCATCCTGAAAAATCATACTAGGTCTTATTTTCAGGGCAGGTCTTATTTTAGGGGAAACGGGGTATTAGTTTGACAGGCAGAAATAGGCTCTAGTCTACAGGAAGGATAATGATCTGTACGGTTCTGCATATTGAAGACCTTTGTTATTGCCTGGGTTAACCATCGTAATGTGTTCTTGGGTTGTGTTAGAAGTTTTTAAAAAACCCTTAAATGTCACCAGCCATTTTAGCTGGCTGCTTCTTTATTTTCCATATAAGCAGAAATGAAGGTTCAAGCGGCCCACCTAACTTATTCTCCCTGCCAGGAAAAGCTGTATCCGCCGTTTGTACTCTGAAGTCACTGGCAAAGAGTTAGGAGGCGGTATAAATGCACAAACCAAATATGCAGCATATAACATTTAGCGGTGTGTTGATAGGTTGTTCGAAATTAGCTCCCTGAGCATTGGAGGCACCTGTCTACAATGTGTTTGAGTTGCTATCTTTACTGAATAAGCCCATTTTCAGTTGAATGAAAATGAAGAACTAATAATGAGCCCAAGTGCTTACTTAGGACACTGTCAGAATTAAAGTAAATGCTGCATAATGACGGTTGCTAAACCTTAAGATCATAATCCTGTTACAATAAAGGCCACAGCAGAGAAGGAAATGACCTGCATTCTGTGAGTTCTACGTAGAGCAATTAATTTTGCTTAAATATGTTTGCTGCTTGGCCATAATGTGTGGTAGATTTAATTAAAATCTTTAAACACAGCTTGTCAGCTATAACGTGCCTGAGTAATCACAACATGTAGGGTCTTATCTGTTACTTTAAATTTTTCTTGAAATGAATTTTATTATTTTTCAAGAATACAAAAGACATACAAATCATATCTATAGCAGTTTGTCAAGTACGTAAGCATGGGCTGTTTTAAAAAGGTTATTTTTCAAAAAGTCGCCATGAGAGATTGTTTAAGGGTACCAATATGTCATCGTGGAATGTATATATTCTACAAAGGGAAACTAAGTTTGTAGAAACCTGGTTGATTGCTCTGTTGTTCTTCCATGTCCAATGTGGATAGTAAATCTGTCCATTATTGTGAGGTGCCAGGCCTTGGAGAACCAGCTGGAGATAATAGAAATCTTTTTGTTTCTAATGATAAGCTTTAAGCAGTCTGATGGCTGGGCATAATGCTGAAATTTATTTTTTTGTGATGAAGAAAAGCATGGATCACCAAGATAGATCAGTCATAGTCCTAATATGGGAGTTCCCTTTGGTTTTTGAGTCACAATAGTTTCTATGTCATAAAAGACTGAAATTCCAAAATGAAAAAAAAACAAAAAGCAAATGGGCAGAACCATCACATACGAAGGCAAGTCCCTGTCTCTCCTGTTGATTGATGTTATATGTTCCTTGCTTCTAAACATGCTCTTAATATGTTATTTCTCACCATTAAGAATGTGAAGCTGTCTGCCGAAGTAGAACCATTCATTCCTCAGAAGAAAGGTCCAGATTCGCTTATGATGTCTGCGGCGCTGCCGAACGAGAACGGAGGCATTAACGGTGTGGAGCCCGCTCCGATTCCCAGCTACCTGATTACGTGCTATCCCTTTGTACAGGAAAACCAGTCCAATAGGTAACTAAAAGTATCCCACTGACTTAGGAGGCGAGTTTAAACATTTGCTTGGTTTTACGTCTTGTAGGCATTTTGTCAACATTGCATTTCTAAAACCACTGGGATACCTTCACACGAAACATCAGCACCTAAGACTACTCTCTGGGGCATGAATGGGTACTGGATCCAGTAGGGCTTGTTTCGGACCCCATAGCTTCCACTTAAGTGACATGGACGTAAGAGAGGCGCTCTGCTCCCTATCTTTTCTCCTCAGTTTTGTGTCATTTGGTGCCGTCCTCACCTCTCTTTATTTTGTTTGGGTGCCTGAAATCTCTCTTTTCAACGAGAGGTGGTGGGCTCCAGATCCTCTTTCCAGCCATCCCTCGAGTTCTGTGTCTGCCACAGAGCAGTCAGGTTGGCTGTCTTTCAGCAGCATCCTCTCCTTTCCCCATTAAGGCTGTGGCCCACTTGAGTTCAGTAGCCCAGTGGGTTGCGAACACATGGAAAGGCAGAAAGCTTGTCTTCGAATGGAGACCTGCATGTGGCTGGACCTCTTGCACATCATGCATTCTGGACTTTCCTCCATGTTCCTTTATTTTGCCTCTGATCTATAAAATCAATTGGGGAGTCAGGATGCAAGAGACTGTAATGTTGGGTAATTCCTTTTGGTTTGACCCTGTCAGATAAATAGCATCTGAGATTTGTTTGTGCCGGACATGGCACAGCCAGATGTGCATTTTTAAGGCTGTAGAGTCACACGAACAGGGGCAAACCTTTTCCCACACTTTCAGGATGCTTCCCTGCAGGAAATGGGTGGTGTGGGCAAACAATTGGGTTCATAAAATTTCTTAATGTTTTGTTTTTGTTCTTCTGTTGTAGGCAACTTCCGCTGTATAATAATGACATTAGGTGGCAGCCGCCTAACCCAAACCCTGCTGGGCCATACCTGGCCTATCCCATTATCTCTGCTCAGCCTCCGGTTTCCACAGAGTACACCTACTACCAGTTGATGCCGGCACCCTGCGCTCAGGTCATGGGTTTCTATCATCCCTTCCCAGCCCCTTACTCTGCGCCCTTTCAAACCGCGAGTGCCATCAATACGGTTGCGACAGAGTGCACGGAGCGCCCACTCCAGCCAAGCCAAGCCTTTCCCGTATGTGCCCAGCGGAGCAGAAGTGCCAACCGGGGACCAGCTGTGCAAAAAGTAAGGCCACCATGCTCTTCAGAGTAGAGGTATGCCCCATGGGCTCTTTTTTTGGACCCAGAATCCCAGAATTCTCTAATAAATCCCAAAGCAGAATTCTGGGAGTTCCAGTCCGTAGATACATACTTTGCAGGCAACCTATTTCATTCACCCGGACAAGGCCAGCACTGTCCAGTGGCGAAGGCTTCTGGGGGTGTTAGTCCAAAAACATCTGGGGACCCCAGGATTGGAAAAAAAAACCCTGCCTCTGACATTCTAGATTTAATTTCTGCATCAAACTCTGCAGTCTTGGTGAGCAACAAGGAACTATACAGATATAATCCCCCAAGGGGCATATAAAACTGTGGCTTAAATACTGTATTTCATGCGTTTGTTAAATTGCAGTCTCAGAAAGCATCAGACAACCATGGAAAAGGGAGGATATTACAGCTATAATTATGTCTGATTAGAAGTAAAAATATGTATTTTCAAAACCACTGTAGAACTAATATCCTAGTTCTCAGTCATACCTATTTAGCTATTTATTCCAATAAATTAAGAGAGCTGGGTGTGCAAAAAAGCACCGATGCTGCCTGAGCCCTTCTTAAGATGGACTAAAACCAGTTGGCCTTTGTCCATCTGCCTTTGGTCCTTCACCTCCACCATTCCAGGCTGGTCGAAATCTTTGATCATTTCTGTCGGTGTCGGTATGATCTAAAGTTACAGGTTGTTTCAAAACCCATGTCCATTATGCTCTGTAATCTTCTGTTGCAAAAAAAAAAAGCTGGTTAGGAAGGGAGTGTCTATGAAGGTTGCTTTTATAGCAGTCTTTGAAATGGTGTCGCCTGCTGCACGACTCCTGGCTTCATAGCTAATCCTTTGGCTTGGTTAATCTTTCCAAACAGCCACAGCCTTCACAGAGCCACATAAAAAGTAAGAGGCCTCCTGTGAAAAGTGTCGCTACTCAGAAAGAGACCAGCGCCTCGGGTCCTGAGAGCAGACCGAAAATCGTACTGCTGGTGGATGCTTGTCAGCAAACAGGTACGGTGGCTTTGGTGTCTGTGTGCTACTTGGTGTGTTATTATCTCGCGTGCCTTGGTGAAATTTGTCTGCCCCTGAGATGTGCCCTTGTCCAACTTCAAAAGATTTCTCCTGTTGGAAATAGGAGGGAGTCAGTATTCCTATTCTGGAACAGCGGGCTGAATCAGGCTCCTCGTAGATGTCTTCGGTCATTTGTTATCGACAACAGCCATTCTCACATTGGAAGAGGGCCCACAGATTGGAAACTGTTCTTCACTTACCACCTGATGAGCTTTGTGATGTGACTTCGACCATCCCGATTCGGCCTGTATTTCTTTCATAGGGTGTTTATGGCCATGGGGAAAAAAAAAAAAAAGGTTGAGAATGGCTGCGCTGGAATTATGATGTCCTGCTTATATCAGAAGGTCCGGTTACAAGAAAAGGCCACTGAAGACAGTTTAAAGCATAACATCAAACCTTGTTTTTATGCACTGCCCAGCAGAGTGGATTTGATTCAAATCAGTTAAAATCATGATGTAAATCGTGATTTGAATTTTTTAAAACCAGATTTCTTTGAGAATTTAATTTTTTTAAAAAAAATAATTTGTTAAAATTTAAATCATGATTTAAATCAATTCGATGTAAATTGTGATTTGAATTTTTAAAACCAGATTTCTTTGAGAATTAAATTTTTTTTAAAAAATAATTTGTTAAAATTTAAATCGTGATTTAAATCAATTTGATTTTTGAAATCATGGATTCTTATCCACCCTGCTGCCCAGTCACTCCTGACTTACCACAACCCTATTAGTAAAGGCTCCCAATGACATCCCCTCCCCCAGCATGAAGGGGAGAGAGATTGTCCCTAAATTCTTTTTTATGTTTCCTACATCAAGCCAAGAATTGCTTCCAGAATTGTTGCTCCGCAGTCACTCCCGTCCCTTTGCTTTTCAGATTTCCCCTCCGAGATCGCGAGCAAGTCCCTGTCGGAGAGCACGAGCGCCATGCACTGGAGGCCGAAAAGCAGCAGCAGCAGCCGGCGGCAGCGAACCTCCCACCTGGCCGAGTCGTCTAGCGAGCAAGGGGCCAGCGAAGCTGACATTGACAGCGACAGCGGCTACTGCAGCCCCAAGCACAGTCACCAAGTTGCCGCCGGGGCCTCCAGGAGCGCCGAGTCTGTGGCGGGAAATGTAGGTAAACGTGGCCTGGAAGCAGAGGCCGGAGCTGAAACCTTTGAAATGTCTTGAAGATGGGATGAAGGGAGCGACGTTTTAAAATAGCTTCTCTCTCTCTTTTTCTCTCTTCCTTTTTTTAATTTTCAGATTTTGGAACCATCAACACACCCAGGTAAATTGCCCGGATTAATCCATCAGGTTGCTCAGATGAACTTGAAGCGATGCCTCTTCCATCATTATAATCCTAGTGCAATCCATTGGAGCCGAAAGGGAATTAAGAGTTCGGGTGTGGGATGAAGTGTGATTTAATTAAACTGGTCACACACCCCCTACAAACAACAACAACAAAAAGCAGCCCTTGACTGGACTGTTTTCTGTAAATTTTAATGACTTGCTTATGAAATTTAAAATCTTGATTTCCTCCCACCTCTGACATTGCTTTGGTGTAGTCCATACGTCACCTTGAGATGTAAAATAAAAGATTCTGATAGTTGCTGCCGTGCCAGTCTTCCTACCCTTGAAACCTCCTCTTGCTCCACTTCTAATTGTGTCCCACTCCTCAAGAAATCCTGTAGGCCTCCTACACTGAGGTTTAAATTCTGTCCAGGCTGCAGATAACCCTTTGGGTCCCAACTGTACAATTTTTGTATTAAAGTAAAGTTGATAACTCTGAAGCCATAAATAATGGCAGGGTTTATTTGAAAGAAAACATGTCACATCTAGTAGAAAGGAAGCATGGAGAAGTGACTGTGAATGCTAGAACTGCTGGATGTTTGTGGAAAATGGAGAGGCGGCAGACAGATCTCTATCCATCAAGTTATCGCTCTGTTGATGGTGTAAGCAGGTAAACATACTGGAAACAGCCCTGACTAAAGACACTCAGTAGAAACCCCAATCCAGATTTCACATCAAGGTGTTTTCCTCTTATGTAGGTCACTTTCTGTATTAAAAAAAAAGTTGTGAGCCTTTGTCCTTTTAATCACACAGGAAACCTTTCCTTAAACTACTTTCTGCAGGTCCTAGTTGGATAAACGTGAGTTCCCAAGCGACTCAGAAGAAGCCGTGGGTAGAAAGACCACCAGCTTTTTCAAGAGGTGGGAGGCAACTGGAGCAGCATAATAATTCACAGGTATTGTTGTTGACTCAGCATTCTCCTCCTGCCCCCCCCCCTTTCCCGGCTGTTCAGCCATGCTCACGGGCAGCGTGTGGATGGACAGAAAGAGATCGTTCTTGCTTTTCCATCTTGGTGTGTCAGAGGCATGGCACACAGGGAGGAGGTCCCCCTTCCCAGCTGTTCAGCCATGCTCACGGGGCAGCATGTGGATGGACAGAAAGAGATTGTTGCTTTTCCATCTTGGCGTGTCAGAGGCATGGCACACAGGGAGGAGGTGGACAGAGGAAAGCGAATGCACCCGTTCTTCACTCAGGAATGTATGCTAAATGAATTCTTTCCTCAACCTTTGGTGATCCAGTGAAAAAACTGGTGGACATAATTCTGACACAGCAGGAGGTAGAGCCAGGAAGGATAGCTGCCTATTAGAACAGGCAGCATGCATTCTGAGGTCTCCTGATGTTCCTTTTTTTTTTAACATCTACACCCAGCCTTCCTTCAGGTGCCGGGGGCACAGCACATCTTCAGAAAGAAGACAGAGCTTGCAGAAGAAAGCTGACAAGCCCATAGCCTCAAGTCAGCCCAGCCGAGCCCAGCCGAGCCCTGAACCCCTCTATTTTGAGGTAACATTTGTGTTTCCCTCGGTGACATTGAGAGGATGATCCCTATGTTCGCCTTTGATGTTTCCAACGTGGCCTGTCTTTATTTGGAGGCAGGTTTCCTTCTGTGAACGGTCTGGCATCTTGCTCTCGGTTTCTTCCCTGTTGTGATTCTAATTTGGCAAACAGTTAGAACATGCAGGACAATCAAATGTTGACGTCCGCAGCTCCTCCAGCGATGCTTTGCATTTTACACCTCTTCTGTTGCGTTCTGTTCAGGATGAAGAAGAGTTTCCTGAGCTGAACAGCGACAGTGGAAACTCGAAAGGTGCCCACGTGCAGCTGAAACATGCACCCAAAGTGGTAAGAAAAGAGGCTTTGTTAATGACTTGGGTTATTAAGCTGGGTGGGTTGTTTGCTTGAGCTGCTCTCGTCTTCATTTAGAGGGCTGGGCTGAACCACAGTTCTCAGGTGTGAGGGTGGAACGTCAGTGCTTTCCATGGTTCTCTCTGTAACTAGCATAGTAATCAGAGCAAATGGTGTAAAAGAAGAGACCTTATTTCTTTTTTCCCCACTATGCCTATAATTCATATAGGTCTTCTACAATAGGACTGTGGTTCCAAGCCCTTCCCCCCCTCCGCGGATGCCAGAAATTGTGGATAAGAAAACCCTGTATATAGTCTCTGGTTCCCTCGGATAAGTGAAACCGCGGATACTGATACAACAGTCTTATGTGAAGTCATTGTTTCCTGGTGCAGCATATGGATCTTATGCATGGAGTAGACATACAATCCTCAGTACAGACGTATTGGCCAGAATCGTGTTGGAAGTTTATGCTAGTGTTAAGCATAATTGTGTAAATCACAGTGGCAAATTGCTGCTGGTTTAATGATTATCCCCTTGTATTCCTGATTGTATCCCAGTCGTACAGCCAAAAACGAGAGCGGCAACTTGTTAATTGCTAATGCACAATTACGCTTACACCGACATGAATCTGGAAGATGATTGTAGCCGGTAATTTCCTTGAAAGTACTGTTTTGGAAGCTGCAGAGTCACCAGGCTTAGGTGGAGCTGGGCTTGGCCTTGCAACATCTTTTAACGGGGCACTCTCCCTGCTTACCTCTAGTTGGATGATCTGCCGGAAAATTCTCCAATCAACATAGTCCAGACTCCAATTCCAATCACCACCTCTGTCCCCAAACGAGCGAAAAGTCAAAAGAAGAAAGCCCTGGCCGCAGCCTTGGCCACCGCGCAGGAATATTCAGAAATTAGTATGGAGCAGAGGAAACTCCAGGTCTGTCTCTTCATCATCGTGTTGCAACTGAGAGGCATTCTCTGTTTAGAACAGGGAGGGCCCACGTTCTTGGGGGGGGAATTCTGACATGGATGGCTGCGCCTTTGTGGCTTTGAAAGTGGTTTTTGGAGTTCCTTTGGTCTGCCGTGTTTTCCTGTGGGTTTGGTTGTGACCCTTTTGAGTGTTTGTATACTTACTGTTCTTAGCTTTTAAGTTTTGTCTTTTGATGGACGTGAGCTTCCTTGGGTCCTTTTTAAGAAGAAAGGTGGGGTAAAAATATTTGAAATAAATACACAGCCTGGATACAGTTGTAAAGGAGTGTTGATTTTAAGCTATCGGAAGGTTTTCTTGCCCTTGTTTTCCTTTATTTCTAAAAAAAAAAGTGGCCAAGTTCTAAGACCATCTCCAGGGGCATATCCTTCTGTTTCTTACATCCCATTCTGGTTGTGCCTGAATTGTCACCACCGGACCCCTCACCGCTAGGTGGCACCCGCCTCACTGTGAAGCCTGCCTCTGACCACCAGGGACAGGGAAGTCTGCTTTCTGCAGTCTGAGACCTGGTGTCAGCCTCTCTCCAGGGCTTCTGGCAGAATCTTTTCCCGGGGACTGAACCTGTGACCTTTTATTCTTCCAGGAAGCTGTTTCCAAAGCTGCTGGAAAGAAGAGCAAAACACCAGTGCAGCTGGACTTGGGAGACATGCTGGCGGCTCTGGAGAAACAACAGCAGGCGATGAAGGCTCGCCAGATCACAAATACTCGCCCTCTCTCCTACACAGGTAGGTCTGGTTTTGTTCAGCTGGTATTTATGGCTGCTCCCTTTTCAAGCCTTTTAAGGGGGCTACTGTTTTTAACACTAATTAATAAGCATAATGATTTTAACTGTGGCCCCTGTGAGGATGGTGTTAGGGTACCTGTGGGTCAAGCAGAGTGAATGTGTTAGGATTTTTCTCCCTTGAGCGACATCCCCCTGCAGCGTGTCCGTGCATGAAATAGTCTGTAGTGTAAACGCCTGCTCAAGGAGTGGCTTTCCTGGGCTGCTCTCTGTCCAAAATGTGGAAGTGGAAACATGATTCCTAGAGGCAGAGTAATATTCAAAAAACAGGGTGTCTATGCATGTTTATGATAGTGAAATTATTTTTGCTGTGGAGCTTAGCTTTTGACCACACTAGTGACTCCTTCTGTTAATGCAATTGGTTTGTTTTTTAAAGAGATGCATTTAAAGTGCCCTAGTAAACCTCAGTTAGAATCCTGTTGCTTTGCTTAGTTGCAATTAGAGGAGACCCACTAGATCAGTGGGGTTTGGTGAGTCAACTCTTCTATAATTTCCATTTCACGGGTCTGTTCTAGTTTCAGCCTAGGACATTAAGCGACAGAATTCTGGCCTCTGCAATGCTCTTGAAGACGGGCCTTCTAATTCAAGGGAAAGAAGCCATCTGTTATCCTTGGCTGCCTGTTAGAAATGTCAAGAATAGCCCACTTCTAATGAAATAGGTTCTTTGGTCAACTTGCCCACTGAATTAGTTTTGAGTGAGCCTCGTGTTTCCAGAAAAAGAATTTGACATTTCTTCAAGGGAGTGTTTTGCTAATCCAGATGAGTGCATCAAGAGTTTAAATACTCCCATCGGTGTTGAAAGTAGATTTTCCAGGGACCCCAAAGGATCTCTTTGGTACAACTAATTGTACATGAAAGAGGGAGATTCTTGGGCACGCAGGACAGATGGTCATGCCAAATCACAAACTCTCCTCGAAGAGGGCAAAGAAGCCAAGGCTTAAGGCCTGTAAGTGTGTCTGTACTGTACTTGGGTTTCTGATATTAGTTCTGCGTGCTTCTTTGGTTGCTAGTCAAAGAAATCGGCAGATACTTAATTTTCACCTTCTTCCTGAGATGTTGCTTGCCCTTTTTAAGGCCAGCATAGAACATGTTTCTGTTTCCTTGCATGACGTGGAGTTGAAGATGGAGAAACCATCTGAAAGCAGAAACATTCGCTTTTGTAGGTTTCGTGTCGTGGTGATGTGTTTCCATTTCAATCCGAGGGAAAAGGTTTTGTAATAAGAACTGATCAACAGGAGGGGGGGGGGACTTGAGAATGTCCACTCTCTTTCAGCAGCTCCAGCCAGCCCTTAACCCTGTCATGCTTCCTTTTAGTTGGCAGCCCTGCTCCTTTTCACACCAAAGAATCTTCCGGCCGAAAATCCTTCACAAAAGGGCAGGCGCCGGTGGGTTGCCTTAATCCTCTGGATTCCACGGCCCCAAAAGTGAAGCGAGGGAAAGAAAGAGAACTCTCAAAGCTGAAGCGTCCTACGGCGCTTAAAAAGGTAAGCAGTCTCCCCCATGGGTGTTCCAGTTGATCAGTGTGACCCTAGAAGGTTCCAGGCTGTTAACATGGTTTCATCAGGAGGTATTTATTCTAGGTATTTTAAAAAAACTTTTCATGATGTCTTGCTCTTCTCTCCCCACCCCCCAGTTTCCAGAGCGTGGACTTCCATGCATCTTTCTAAGAATTGGCAGCCATTTATAAGTTCATGTTGTGGATAAACAGGACAGGTTAAGCTTAATGTCTTTTGCTTCAAAAGCGAAGCTGCTGAGCTCCAAGTGGGTAGGAGAACTTGGAATTGTACACTGTATCACAGAATTGCTTTTGTTTCAGATTATCCTGAAAGAGAGGGAAGAGAAGAAAGGGCGGTTATCTGTAGATCATAACCTTCTAGGGGCTGATGAAGAACAAGAGGTGAACTTGAACTTGACTCCTGAGCAGTCCGAAGAGCTGGCGTCTCAGGAAGGTCAGAAAGCTAAAAGGTTACATGCAAAGGTGTCTCCAGATGCATGCTTCAGAATCTGTCTATGGGTGGTTGCGTATTCTGTGACGTTAATTGGACTGAGCAGTTCAAATGATCAGGTGCCTTTTTTTCTTTAGATGGATATATATTTAGTTAAACACTAAATAATAAAGGGAACTTCAGGAGTGGCATCCCTCAAAGATGAAAGAGCTCTGACCATAAGTTGAAAGAGGAATTCGACCGGCCTCCAAGGCAGACTCAGAAGCCGTGTCTGTGGCTGCACTGGCTTCCTTGGTCTGTGAATGTCAGACTCCACCTGTGCAGTAGGGGGTGGAGAAGCACGCTTACCTGTTTTAAATTAAGCAGAATAAAGAAAACATAAAAGCTACCTTTACAGATGACAAGCACTCGAGTAAGCGGGTATTTATCAGACAGGGCTACAAGGCAGCATACCAATTCTCCTTTCCAAAAAAAAGGAGGAATTATCAAAGTTTCTGAAACTGGACACACCTCTGATTCGGCACTCATTTATGGTTTAGATGGGAAGAAAAAGGACGCCTGGTCTGCAAAGGAAATCGTTTGGTTCAAAATTCCCAACAGAAGCAGCAGCAACAAAAAAAAAAGAGATTTATCAAAAGGGATTGTTTTATTCTGTTGTTTTTAATAGTCTTTTTAATACTGTTCTTATTTGTGAGTTTTTAATATGTTTAAGTCAGGGACCCTTACAGATGTGCCTCTGGATGCAGCAGCTCTTTGTGTCTTTCTGTTTCTCTGTTACAGAAGGTGGCCTGAGTGTGCCGAGCGACACGTCGCTCTCTCCGGCAAGCCAAAACAGTCCCTATTGCATGACTCCAGTGTCCCAAGGTTCACCGGCCAGTTCTGGGATTGGAAGCCCCATGGCATCTGCCACGATCACGAAAATTCACAGCAAGCGGTTCAGAGAGTAAGATCTTAAGACTTCCTTTGCGTGCGCCTCCCCCCCCTCCGCTTTTTGGCCTTTCTTTGAAACGTACATGCTTGAGCTTGACCTAACAGAAGCCAATCAGCCTCGTTGAGCTAATCTTTTGTGCCTCCTGACCCTACAGGTACTGTAACCAAGTTCTCAGTAAAGAGATAGACGAGTGCGTGACGCTCCTGCTGCAAGAGCTGGTCAGTTTCCAGGAGCGGATCTACCAGAAAGACCCCATGAGAGCCAAAGCAAAGAGGCGGCTGGTGATGGGCCTCCGGGAGGTCACCAAGCACATGAAGCTGAGCAAGATCAAGTGTGTCATCATTTCTCCCAACTGTGAGAAAATCCAGTCAAAAGGTACGCGGGGAGGTGAAACCCCCTCCCCCTGCTGTAAGCAGCATCCGCAGCCACGTGGAATGGTCTTTTGCTGCTTTTCCTTTTGTGCCGTTTTCCGCCTAGTGCATGTAGAATGTCATCTCTCGAGTTCTGCAGAATGTCATGTATGTGTTTCCGCTCCTTCCTTCTCCAGTTCCTCCTACCCAGAAAGTCTTCTGAACCCCAGGGGTTCAGATGTCTCTTCCGAATGGCCTGCTGTAGAGCCTGGGGACTCCACATTTGTCAGCCGGTGGGGTGGAGGGGGAACAGGATGAGTGGTTATGGTGAGACAGAAGCATCCTTTTAAGTGCTTTCTACCCAGGCATGCCTGTGTAACATGGATGTTGGTAACGTGCACATATTTGGCAGATAAATGTGAATCTTAGGGGTTTATTTGAAAAGCATAATGCGTGAAGAGGTTCCTGTTTCATTCTGAGCTGTCTGTCCAGTTTGTAGAAAACCTTAATGTTTGACTTAAACATTTTATTGAAAGTGCCTGACTTAATCTGGTGGAGACAAGAGAGTTCTTCACCCTTGGCTGTCTCCTTTCTCGTCGTGCTCTCAGGTGGTCTTGATGAAGCTCTGTACAACGTCATAGCCATGGCACGGGAGCAAGAAATCCCCTTTGTCTTTGCCCTCGGCCGTAAAGCTCTCGGCCGTTGCGTGAACAAGCTGGTTCCTGTCAGCGTGGTCGGCATCTTCAATTATTCGGGTGCTGAGGTAAGTGGGTGCGTTTCGGCTCCGACATTAAGGTGGACATCTTCCACATTTCAGCAAAATGTCCCCCAAAAGATCGTTGTGACGCCTGAATACAAATGCATTCTGTATATTGACGTGTGTCAAATTACCTGTGGCACGTGTCACCCAAGGGGTCGTGGTGTGCAATGTTTTCCTTCACCAGAGCCAATAATGCTCCCTTTCACATAAAACACTGCAATATTTCTCAAAATCTGAGAATGGTAGCACTTGCCTCCTTATTGAACAGGTGCCTATTTAGCCGCCTTGGGTCCTTTTATGGAGAAAATGTTTTAAATAAATAATTGAAGCACAGGTACTGATGGAGGTCTCAAATTGGCGCTCACAAGAAAAGGCATTTGCTTGATTCCTTCGGTGGATGTTGCTGACAAGAGGACAAGCGAGGGATGAGCAGAGCAGAGCAGCAGGCTAAAATGAAGCCCCAAACTCACATAGCTCTCCTGGACATCTGAGCACGGCCCATATCCAGTATTAAATTTTGTAACTGGAAGATAAATGGAAGGGAGTGCAAGCAGTTAAGGAGACTCTTATGTCTGTTTCATCAAAACCATGGTGAGCCATTTGCTTGATAGGAATTTGAATTCTTCTCCAGGGGCTAAAGCTGTTGTCCATCTTCCCATACATTACCCATGCTGTGCAAGATGCAAAATCTTCCCTCAGATGCTGGGCAAACATCTAGAATTGCAGTGCAGCAAAAGGCATTTTTCAGTATATGATTTTAATTCTGAGAAGAATACATTGCAGACAGGGAATGGTTCTTTGTCTTTTAGAACCTCTTCAATAAGCTGGTGTCGTTGACGGAGGAGGCCAGAAAAGCCTACCAAGACATGGTAGCCGCCATGGAGCAAGAGCAGGAGGAGGCTTTGAAGAACATCAAGAAGGCCCCTCACCACATGGGACATTCCCGGAACCCTTCTGCCGCCAGCGCCATTTCCTTCTGCAGTGTTATTTCAGAGCCCATTTCCGAAGTTAACGAGAAGGAGTACGGTAAGCCTGTCTTTGGAAAGATGAGTCTGTGCCGGACTTTTCCAGATCTACATTAAAAGGGTTTTGGCCCTCTTTCCCTTCCCTGCCCCTCCCTGTTAATGTTTCTGATCTGGTGGCCGTACTTTGTGCCAATGGCAAGAAGGCAATCTTTTCATCATCATGGTTGTCAGTGATTTTGTCGGTTTCTGCAGTCCAGCCGTCAGGGGTAAATTAACTGGACTGTCTGAAACGTTAATTGTGGAGTTCTTCCTCATCCTAAGAAAACCTTCCTGAAGATAAGGGCTGATGGGCTTTGGGTTGGACTCCCTTGGACTGGGGCGGTGGGTGGATACTCCTTCATGAAAGCTTTTTATCCCTGCCTGTCCGAGATGCTTTAGCTGCTGGTTCTCAGGACTGGTAGGAGGTTAGCCGACGCTTGGGTCCTTTCTTGAATTCACAGTTCTGTGATTCGATGAGTCACCTCTAGTATCAGCTTCTTAGTATGCTCTTGCACTCATCCTGCAGCAACCCCAGGGTGAACGATGAGGTCAGTGCGTAGGAGTTGGTTTTGTAGTATGGAGCATGAACCTGCAATGCTAGACTAGTTTATGCCCACATTCAGCCTGATCAAATCAGTCTCTTCCTGTAAATGTAAGTTTGTTCGATGCTTGCTATTTAAGAGAAGAGTCCAGAATACTGCAGCCTTGTAAATAACATGCCTTCTTGCATTTCCTGCAGTGAGTTCACAATGTTCAAAATAAGCAAAACAACCAAGAATAAAAATAGAATTAAAACAGATAAAAATTCAGGCTAGCTTGTGTAAAAGCAAAGTGTGCTCCTGATATACTGCCCCATAGGGCATAAAACACTCTCTGGGCAGTTTATAATATAATTAGACAAACAACACTTTGCCCCCACCTCCCAGTCAGCTTGGGATTCACTCAGTTTACTCCTCTCCCAAGGATGTAAGGCTGAGTCACCTCTTGAGCTGGCTCAGCGCAGAGTCTTCACTGCAGTATTGCAGTTTAATCTCTGCCACGAGGCTCCTCCAAAAGATTATTATCTTTCTTTTGAACTGTCGTTAGTTTTGGAATTAAACAGTTGAGCCAACCTGGCTAGGTTTAATTCACCTGCTCCAAAGCAGGTGAATTAAACCTGTACATGACAACAAGGTTTGATTTCCTTTAGAATTTCTTTGTAACAAAGTGGTTAAGGGAACGGGAAGAAAATTCTTGTCTCAAATCTTTTCTGGACATTTATGTGTTTCCCCTTCCCCCAGAAACAAATTGGAGGAGCATGGTGGAAACCTCAGATGGACTGGAAACCTCTGAAAATGAGCGAGGGGCCTCCTGCAAGGCGGTGGTTGCAGACCATGTGGGCCACAGCAAGGCTGCGGCGAATAAGCCCCTGTCCCTCGTTGCCTCCACTGCCGCCACCGGGACCATCACGATTGTCGCCCAAGGGAAAGCGCTGAGCGGGAAAGAGGAAGTGAAGCCTGATGACAACCTGGAATGGGCCTCCCAGCAAAGCACAGACACCGGCTCTTTGGATGGCAGCTGCAGAGATATTTTGAACTCCTCCATGACCAGCACGACCAGTACCCTGGTCCCAGGAATGCTGGAGGAAGAGGAAGATGAGGAGGACGAGGACGAAGAGGACTACGCCCACGAACCGATCTCGGAAGAAGTTCAGCTCAACAGCAGAATTGAATCTTGGGTTTCGGAGACTCAGCGGACGATGGAGACGCTCCAGCTCGGGAAGGGCCTTGGTGGCGCAGAAGAGGATCACGCTGAGCCGAGCGAGGACGAAGAACTGGAGACACCCGAGCACGTGGATTCAGCGATCGATGCGGAGGAATGGACATTGGAGAAGCACGCGAGTAAAGTCCAGCAGAAGCTGAGCGCCTGTGGTTCGCTGGACTCTAAGCATACGGACTCAAATTATATACCCTAGACTCAAGCACAAACTCAGGAATCTTTAATATTTTAAAACTAACTGTTGTAAGGATTGTAGCCATTGCTTTGTGTGCTTCATCTCAGCATTTTGCACTGTGTAATTGTTTAATATGAGTATTTAATTCACGACATAATTTTTTTTGTGTGTAGCAGTCTTTATTGCTTTTTCCATTGAGAACAAGCGCCTGCATGTGTGTGTAATGAATATTTATATCTTTCCTAGAACACATGATGCGTGTTGAAACTGTCACTGGGCCTCTTTTTGTACATGAAAACTATTTCCAAATGACCATTTTTACAGAAAACTATTCTCAGATGATACCTTCAAAATTCCTATGCTTATTATTATTTTTTAAAAGACTGACAGAGTGCCCGAGATTTGCTTTGATGATCTTGCAGATTTTGGCACCAGGCATTAGGCCAGAATGAGTATGTTGTGAGGCTTTAAAGATGTCTGTAACCAGAGGAGAATCCTTACTGAGCAAAGAGGCACATTAACCAGCCGTTTCACTCCAGTAATGTCTTCTGACTGGCCTCTGAGGGTATGCACTTCAGAAATGCACTCTGGAGATTTGGAGACTATAATCAGCTGAAACGTTTTAGCAAGGCACTTGTGGAAAGGGAGCTCCTCCCTCCTTTCCAAGGGTCTACTTTAATGTCACAGTGCCTGTAGAACTACAGAAAGGGACCTTTTCTTTAGCCACAATGACTTTTCATTTTTTTGAGTTCTTCCTTAACACTGTCTTGCTGTTCTTTGGCTGTTTCTTAGTTCTTTCACTTATCTCAGGAATGCTGATATGTATTCGTAACTGCGATGTAAATATACCAAAATACATGTTTTTAAAAAGTTGAATATTGATCCTTCAGCGGAAAATGACACAAGAGCTGAGTTTATATGGGAAACCTGGAGGCTGTTGTATTTTAGGATGTGGTACCCCTGCACATGTTTGTTTTTCAGCTTGGAATTAGTCATAGCATGGATTCTTGTGGAGAAGTGTGACTATTATGGTTCGGTAGCAGTTTGGCTCCCTGGGATTAGATTTTGATAGCAGCAAGAAATGGAAGTGCATCAGTCGGAAGGGCTGGGAGACCCATTGATTTAGGGAGAAAATTTAGATTGATTTACTCTTATTATCCATCTCTATATGCTCGGTGTCTGAGTTTTCCAGCGTTGCCCATTAAGAAATATCTGATAAGTGGCATGAAAAATGCTTGAATGGTCAGGCTAGAGGAGCTGAATATTCATTGATTATTGATAATCAATAATAAGCTTTATGAAAATTGACTTCCCAAGGTATCCGGGTTTCCCCCTCCCACACAGTTAGTTAGGCTGTTCACTTAATAATTAGGGACCAATAGCTTTCACATCTTCAAAACTAGTGTTCTATATTGTACAGAAAAATAATCGGGTTTGGTGTCTTAAAAACTGATGTTGTCATCCCGTGCTAAGGACCGTAGCAGAAAAACCCAGTTTGAATCTTTAAGTAAGTAGTCTTTTGGTGTACGTGAACACTGTATTTTGTTAAGGAGAACATGTGAGTACTGATAGGCCAGCTCTTCCTGACGTTATTTAAGATGTCCAGAAATTGGCATTTTCCCCTTCCTTTCCCCCCCCAAGCCCTAGTTAACTCCAATG